CTTAGTCAGGGTTTGGGCAGGTCACGCATTCCTGTCCTGAGTTTCTGCACTGAGCTTGGTCTGACTCGAGCACAAGACCCACACATGGCAGTGATGTTGAGCTGTGTGTTCTACAGTGCATGTGGGGTCTGCACCTGGTGACAGTGAGGGGACAAGCCAAGGTGGACATTCCTGAATCTCTTAAGAATTAGAAGCTCATTTAAAATTAGGTGATTTTTTTTTCTCCTCTCCCTTTCTCAAGCAGTAGGGATTTTGATTAGAAAATAACTCAATGGCTTTTGAGATATGTATGGTTCAGTGCTCATATAGAAACATTTTACAATTAAGAAAAAACCCACTATGTGCATGAGTGTAAATGCCTAAGGCAGTAGTGTCAATATACTTCTGTGTCTGAGAGTGGGTTTTGCTCTGGCAAATGGACTTTGGGCTAATGGGCTTTTTGCATTTTTCTGTCTTGCATTTTTCAGATGGATACAACTCAAGAAAGTTACCTGGACCTGTTCCCTTTAGATGCAATTGTTTATCTCACTCCTGACTCTGAGAATGGTAAATATTTTCACATGCACAGGGGAGCTAGGGCAAATGGTTGTTTTTTAAGCTTTTCTTTTTCAGACTATTTCATACTTCAGGTGATTCAATTCCAATATTCACTGTCTCAAATTGCATGAGATGTACTGCGTACTTAGATCTGATGCTAAACCTATTCCTATCTCAATCTGTTTTCTTGAAATGAAGTTTCAACGTGAAGCTGTGTGTGATCTACTGCAGACTTAACTTAAAACTTGTGTGTAGATCCCTTGCAGCTTTTAATACTAGGATGTAGTAAAGTGGAGATGCTGTGGCAGTTTTGGCTACAGTCTATATGACATTTCTCTCTGAAATAATGCAGCAGCTACAATGTTCTCTGTATTGCTTAATTTGCTACTGTGTTTATTTTCTCCTCTTCCTCTGTTTCTAGCTCGCCACTGTTGCTGGGGGCATGTATCTCTGTCTTGTTTTACAAAAGTGCCTTACTCTGCTAAATAATCTGGGATTGGTGGGGGAAGGTTTTAGTAGGGCATCCTGGTACTGGGCACACTGTGGAGCAGATTGGGATCAAACTGACCAGATCAGCCACATCTCAGAACAGACAATAGTTAAAGGGAGCAATCTATGATATCTGGCACTCTGTGCTTTCAGCCTTTCTGAAAAGGCTGAGAAAAGCATTTCTCTCTTTCACACTGCTGGTGGGTTCAGGCAGACACATGTGTCTCTGAAGGCTCAGCCTCCTGTGTGGTCTGAGGCTTCAGGGCAAAGGTTGACTCTGGCCACAGTTTTCTTATGGAAGTGGGCTCTTGCTTGGAAAATGGTCTAGTGCAGGATTTTACTTTTGTATGGTTGTGAGCAAGTGCTTATCTTGTTTCTAGTCCTTGAAGATATTGATCCAAATAAAGTATACATCCTCGGAGGCTTGGTGGATGAAAGTGTTCACAAGGTGGGTAGTAGCCTGTTGGAACCTGAAGGCGCTGTCTGCCCCATTATCTCCTGAGAGCAAAGACATCCCACTGGTAGTACCCAGTGCTGCTGCTGCCTTGATTTGAGACGTCACTGTTGTGCCACCATACATTTTTCCCCAAGGTTCTGCCTGGATCCAGCACCAGGCTGAGAGACTGCAGCAGTCTAGGTGAAAGGAGGCCCAGGACAGTTTTTAGCTTCGTAGCTTCTTGCACCCAGAATACTATGCATGCTCTGCGTATGCAAGTTTGTGCACATGGGGCACCTTGTTCTTGTTTCCTTTGCAGAAGCTGACTCTGCAAAGGGCACGAGAGCAGTCCTTGCAAACAGCCCGTCTCCCCATTCGTGAGTACATGGTGAAAGCTGATAACACCAAGAATTACCATTCAGAGACACTGGCAATTAATCAAGGTGAGAGGCTGAGCCATGTTCTGACACTTGCCTGGGCAGGGGAGAGGGGGCTATCAAGCACTGAAGCTGGAGTGTTTTCAAAATTATTCCCCATTGCTGAGTAATGGGGGAAGAGCTGGGAGCAGAGGTTTC